GCTAATTTCACCATTTTTGTAAACAAATATAAACATTTCTTTCTTACCAAAGACTGTAAGCAGAGATGGTAGGTTTAAATAACCATTGATCCGATTTGCGACTTGATCGAACATTCTGAAAATAGAATCTAGTTAGAAGTAAAGTTAATCCATGGAATAAGAGATAGAGTTATCCACAAGGTTTTATCTTACCTGAAGCGTCAGCTATTAATGCTGTTTAAATCTATTTTACTAATTCATAGTTTCACAACATTCATAATTTAATTACTTTGCGTAACAAAGTTCTTATTTTAGATTATGTATACTAAGTCCATCTTTACTTTGCGTGCGCAAAGTACGAGCGTATTATTAGTATAACGGACCGAGCACGACGTCTTTTGTACTTGAATTGGCGTAGTGTTGGGCCTTTTAGAAGATGACGAAGAACAACAAGATAAGAAGAGCTCTGGAGACATCTAGTTCCTCTTCCAAATATTAAATGGAACTCGTACCGCGTCTCCAGTTAAGCTGTATCGGATGTTCTAGACACAGTTAGCGTTCCATGCGTTTGCATAAAACATGTCCGAATTGATGATGATCTTTCGCCACTTAATCTTTTGAAGTGTATAATTTAAGTCAATTCTACGGAATCGATTTACGTCATGCACTTTTTCAATTTCATTATAAATTGAATACAGCCCGATTATAGGTAAATACATCGACAGCATTATGTTCCATTTATTCCCTTTTCGTTGTCTTTATTAGCCCAGTCATTGCAGAAAACTAGAAAGTTAAACCCCATTTCATTTCATTTTATTCCCTTGACATTCGACTGAAAACTACTTCCTGTCTGTGTGTGGCTATTTTAAGTTTAGAGGCGTAGGTTTTAATTTATATATATTCTTTTATCTGCAAGTTCCCACAGACAGAAGGGGACTTAGAATACATCGAAAGTAATGTATATGTCTCACAAGTGAAATTTGTAAATACACATCATTGATGGACAGTTTAATACCTATGCTTGAAACTGAGCTGGTAAAATAAGCATGTTAAGAACATCTACTATCTCTAAGAACTTTCCCATAAAACACCAAACATATAATCAGAATAAATGGTGTTTCATGTGGTGTACTAGGTCCAAACGCCCTGGGGTCGTTAATCAATGACACCGTTAACAGAAACTTTTAGAATGATTTACAAGATGTGTTCGAGTATCAATATAGCACTTATATCAGGCTACGTAGCTTCTTGTAGACACCACCAACCTTTCTTATAAATCTTTATAACACTGTCTCAACAAGTCGCATGTTATCAAGAGATTTATCCGCTTTGAACAAGACAAAATTTGAACTTTACCATACGCCTGGTAACAAACTTATTACTTCATAGAAAGGTTGTATTAAGGTTCTTGAAGATATGGGTTTGCTATTAAGCTTCTCACGAAGGCGGTACTTGTGTACGTATATATATGGGGCTCATTTCTTTGTCTAACAATTATACAAAAATAAGTTGCCTTTGGCTGAGTCTGACAAAGCTTTTTGTCTCGACTTTGTATTAGATCATCTGGATATTTTTCTATCCAATATCTGGCTTGATGGAGTTTGTATTGTTAAATAACTCGCGGGTCTTTCTTTCAACATGTTTACTTTTCATTTGAACATGTTGTAAAATTTTATCTGGAAACTGTTTGTCTTCTTGAAACTAAAGGGGTACTTTATTCCAAAAGAAACAGAAAAGTTAATAATGATCGTATTATTTACCTTAACACCAGTTCAAAATAGTTTTCTCCTCTTTGCCAACTCTTTTGAAATTATCAAACTTAAAAGAAATCTATAACTAACTCAACCCATTCATCTAGCAAATGGTAGCTAGGGTACTATTTATTGTTTGTTTGTTATAATTCAAAGAATTATATGTTCCCGAATAAATCAAATGCGTGTTTGTCTACCTAGAAAGAACACCCTAACTCCCTCAATCCCTTAAATACCGAAATATGTGTTTCTCAAAACTAAAATCTTCAGCAGAAAGGCATACATCTGCCCAGCGCATCTTCAGTATCCAGTAAAACACATTTGGTCTAGCAGTTTTGTTTTATAATATAGAAGCAGTTAAGCATGCCAGCGGTTAAACTATGTAACAGAAGTCGTCAGTTAAGTGTTCTGCATAGCCATCATCGTTAAGCAATGGTCTTAAAGTAAGTGTTTCCAGTGTACCACAAATCTGTTAGCAAACCACACATTTCGCTGATCCTTACCGGTGGTCAGATACAAAGTTCAGCTGACGAATTCGAAGTTAGTTTGTTAGAAGATGGCCACAGGGTAATGACAGCCAGTGTAGGATCACTATTCAGATTGTTTAAATATAAAGCGACAGAATAGCTAAAGTGACTTCAAAGCGTTCTTCGTAGAATTAATCTGATCATTGTCAGGATCCTAAGAATGCTTCGTGGACATTCTTGATTCAGTCTAATAACATACTAATGTCGGCCGTCTGTGGCACCCGAAATGAAATGAATTGGGGTTTAAGTCTTATTTTTCTGCAGTGATTGGGCTAATGAAGAGGGGCTTACTGCACACAGTGTGTTAAGAAACAAAAATTGCCAAGACAGTGGCCCTGCGACATACTCTCATTTCTAATTCGAACTGTCAAAGGGTCTTTTACGTGCCCGCCAAAAGGTACCCTGGACACCGGTATTTCGTCCCATCCGAATGACTAGACAATATGGAAACCAAAAATGAAATGAAATGAGGTTTAACGTCCTACTGTTCTGCTACGAACTGGGCTAATGAAGACGGGCATACGCCATACAGTGTGCTATGAGGGAAATTTTGCCTGGACAGCGGCACTACTGTCTACTCTTATATCGAATTCCAACTTCAAGGGATCTTTTACGTGCACGCCAATGTGTACACGGGACCTCGGCTTTTCGTCCCATCCGAACGACTAGACAGCTGTCCTTGTCGGGCCCTCCGTCCTGCATCACTGACAAGAGGGAATCACGCCGGAAAATCTGGATGAACTTTCTCGGCCAATGCAGGGATCGAACACCCGACCTCCAGACTAGCGAGCCAGCGTCTTACCCACTTAGCCACCGTGGCCCCCGACAATGGAAACCGCGTCCGAAAATCCCGCGGAACTTTCTTGGCCAACACTGGGAGCGAACCCGAGATCTCCTGGTTAGCGAGCCAGTGTCTTACACACTGAGACGTTTCGGCTCCCGTGGCACCCGACCAATGAGTTTATATCATGTGATGGCCACCAGTTTGGTTGTATTTACATTATATGGCAATATACCAAAGGCTAGCAGAAACACCCATTAGTCAAATGGTTTTCAGAAGCATCCAGCATCAGCTACAGTTCGCACTAGATCAGTAGTGAGGGTCCAAATGTAGAATCACCAAGCAGACCATTAAAATTCTTCTTGTAGAACTACAATATGTAACTCTTATTTCGCACAGTGTTCTTATAGTAGCAGCTAGAAGACTTTATAGATTTAATTACCTTTCGATTTCCATAATCAAATTGCACTTCCGATTCTCTACAGTCGCCCTTTAATACAGTATATTCTCATAGTACATTTATATTACACGATATTTTATCATTTAATTAAACTTCAGTAGCACTGTACTCCGAGCTAAATCCAATGTTTCTGTTATATTTATGGCATTATAATAAACCCTTTATTCGCTGTTTTATCAATCTAAACGTTTCTATAAGCCGCCACTCTACGCAATTAGTAGATTTAATGATACATATTTACATTATTTTATTATGAACATCAAGTACTAATAAACGTATGATATATTCCACAAGGGTCGGCAAATAATAGAAAGCTATATATTTGTCTCTTATCGATTCTACAAGACTGTAAAATTAGTATCGTTTTTAGTTCATATCCATTGATTCTTGCGCTTATATATATCTTTTATCTCGAGTGTGGATCAATAAGATTAGGTCTATATTAAATAGACACACCAACAGTTATATTGTGTACGCGAATGTCTTTCTCTACGCCTTAGTTCTTTTTCCCACCGGCATAAAACGGTAATATTTCCGTAGCTTTTAATAAACAAAGCTTTTGATTAACTTTCCGCTCGATAAAATACCTTGATGGCCAAAGGACCCCGTTATCATTAACCGCCATTTTTTATTACGATGATATAATTTTTCTTTCAGCTACCGTTTTTAACAATCTCGATGTTTCCAAGACACCATTAGCCGCTTACAAAAGCCATTTTACGTCATTATAATTCAGCCGCAAAAATAAAGCGAGATAACGATTGGCTAATTCGCTTGTATCATAACAGGAAATAGCACGTGCATGTTCGCGCTAAACTACTTCCGATGAAATCTGTTGGAAACCATTGAAAACAGCGATAGAGCTACATAAAAAAGTTTCTGTCCATCAAATCTATCTCACTATCTAAAGCAGGAAAATTATCAAGAAAACTTAAGCTTGAGTTGTCTTTGTCCCGGGTAATTATTGAAGTTCTGAATTTCTCTTGAGAACCCGTTTATTAAGCGAGTTAGCATTGAGTAGAAATAAGTTAACTCGCTTAAATCAATAGCTATTCTTTTACCACCCGATATTTGGAAGACCTGTCCATCTTGGCACTCTTTACTAACCCAGACCCACTTGAAATATTTGGATGTATCGGTGAGAATCGATCACCCTAACGCCATAGTTAGGTTATTTCTAAAGATGATACAGACTTGGTATGACAAGACGAACTATTAGGAGATATTAGCCTCTTCACACCAGTTCTACCTCTCACTGCCTCGCGTTTTTCTATAGAAGAGGAAATTGAAAACTAATGCCGCTGCCAATCGCACCCATCTCGCAGCTAATTACTCTCTAAGAGGATCAATGCAAGAGGCAGCAGTTGTATAAAAATAACGATAATTAAATGTTTTCGCTGAACTGGCATTGTGTTGCCGAACCGAGGTTCCGAAAAGAACCGAAATATTCCGAAGTATTTTCTCGTGTAGTCTGCATGATGGACGTTGCCTTTGTACAAAGGAATTGCATTACTGTAAACGTTTGGACATAAGCGAGAAGCAAAATCAATAAAACTATCGAAAGACTAGCCATCGTGTTAAACAGTGAACAGTAAAGGCGAATGAAATTTCCTTAATTTGATATAAACAGAAAGCGGCAGGCGAGACGAAGTAGCTTTAAGGAAGGAATTTGGAGTTATTAAGTTGGCGTTTCAACGGAACACACGGCAGGTATCCTCGCGAGTAGACGCCGTGCTTGGTTTCCTGAACAAGGTAGGTAATCATGATTAATAGAAAACCCATTGAGAACTTATTACAAGTTTCATTTATAATATTACTTTTCGCCGCGGGAACAGTAGAGGGTTTTTTGAGCTGCTTACGTTTTCTTTCTTTTTTTGAACATAGGTTAGATATGTAAAAATAGCTCCACTGGGAATGACATGGTAGTTCAGGAATAAAAATTAGTTTTCCTCTTCGAGTTGCAAAGTTAGTGCTGAATGACATTATATTATTGCATGTTGTATAGATGTTGCGTGATTCCTGATAATTGTATTACAGGCCCACTAAGATTTCCATATAGAATCACGCTATACCTATTTCTAGTTTTATTATGTAAAACATTAACTGTAAAATACGAAAGATTGGCTATTGTGATACAATCTTTAGAGTTATAAAGAGCAACTAATACGAAACTAATATCAGATAATTGTAACTGATTATCAGTTATTGAAAAAACAAGTTCTGTGTACATCAGTGTGTTGTGTAGTCAATATTCAAATGCTGCCTTCGTCGTTTGTCGTCTGCCTGATAAGATACCCGCCAATTATCGACTCATGATATGTAAATTCACTTCTGCTAAAGTAACCATACTGGTTAAAGAAAATTCCTCACGTTAACAGTTTCAGAAACAACATACAGTACATTGACACACGTGGATTTTCTATATGCGGAAGTGGATGTTAAAACTCATTTAGTTACACACGAGGCTAATTGTATCCCTTGTACACTGATATCCTTATTCATACCATTTATCAGTGATTTAGCAGACGATTTGGTCTCTTCATTGCCATTATGTCATTAACTTTAGGTTTATCTTGTGTAATTGTTTGTATATAAGATCAAATACATATTTATGGTGAAAATCCGAGTACATCGAAATTTCACCATTTTTATTCTTAATGTACAGATATTAATGTTGACGTCAATGAATTCAAAAACTTCGACGTTTCTTTTACAAGAAATTTATTGACTGACCTGTTTTTATTTCTGAATTACGTGTCAGTAGTGGACCAGGCCCGGTGGAGTGGGGGTGGGTGGGGTGGGTGGGGGCCTCCCCAATAATTTGGCCTCAAGTACTCTTTTCTCCAGGTTATTGCATGCAAGTAACTATTCAGTTAGATACAGAGGCGTAACTGGAAGAGACCCGATTTTAACATAGAAGTGAGACTTCTAGAAGTAGAACGCAGACTTTCAGAAGAAAAAAACCTGGGTTAAGAGACCCCCCCCCCCACACACACACACACACACAGACACAGTTGCGAGGGTCGCGATTAGTGAACTTTAACACTGAGCAGTCGAATATCTCATTCCATCTCATATCCATTGTATTATGACATTGGCTAATTAAAACACGACGGGATATAGTTTTCCGAACATTCAATAGAAGGGGCTAAAGCTCTAGAATGGAAGGTTTCATGCGTACCAAAGTGAAACTCAACCAAAAACATTTGATCCTCAACATATAGTCTAATTTTCTTCTCATGAATTGGACTAAAATTGTCGCCTCTGGGAGGTCCACAAACTTCTTTCATATTTCACATTTTGCGTAAAAGGCATTTGGCATAGCTCCAGAACCTCGCCCAAGAACTAGTCATACTTAAACACTCGGATAAAAATTGTTGCAACCTTGGTATTACATACTTTAACACTATTTGCGTAAAGAGGAGCAGCCATTTCACGGGAAATTTCGGTCCGAAATTATTGATATATTTGAACGATTTTGAAAATAAGATAAAAATTGCTACCTCTAGAGGATCCACAAGCTAAAAACGTGATTTTTCGTACAATCAGGGTCCAAAATCCAGAAAGTTACGGTCCGATAAGCGCAAATCGGAAATAAATTGTGACGTCTAGATGGTCCACGACAGGGCGACCTTCGATTGCACGGATTTCCGTACTCAAGTCGAACTATCTGCATGCGAATGACATTAAAGCCCGGCCCATACTGCTACACAACCCGACAGGACTCAGCGTCTTGGGTAGTTGTAAAAAACAATCGGGTCGCGTCTTTACTTCACTTACCTACGACGGTACCAGTCCACACAGGCCCGACTCTCACAGATTATGCGTCGTGAGTTCCGCCACTGCCCTCTAGCGTCTCTCTTCTGTCCAAAAATCTGACATCTTGAATTTTCCCGGGAAAACAAGGAGCACATGACCTGCACAGTCACATGACTAAATACTACTCTCTGATTAAAGCCACCGGCCACATACAACATGATCATCATCGCTCCATGGCCGCTCCAATACCCCCCCCCCATATAATGTTCAACAGGAAAAGGTTTTTTAGAAGAATTGGACAAAATTGTTTTTTCCATTTTTTGTCCGACGGACCCTTCGGGCCCAATCCGCCCCTGCTTACAGGGCTTTCCCATACCGAATTCCCACTGAGGGTTGCCGAAATTCAAAATGTGTGAGTGTCCACACAAACACGATGGGTTACGACTGCATCCAACTGCATCCGACTACGACTGAACATGCTCAGTCGGGCCGACGGGCCACGACGCAGCACAAATCGATTGAATCGTGGTCGTGGGACTGTCCACACTGCACTGATTATCTGAGACAAAACGTTGCGTTGGGTAGAGTCTGGGCAAGTCGTGGCGGTGTGGGCCGGACTTTAGTTCAACCTCTGGCCGTGACCAGCCGTTCCATGCGATAGAGCACGGTCGAGATAGTTCAAAGATGACTGAAAAGACTAAAGCCCGGCCCATACCGCTACGACTACACACAAGCCGACAGGACTCGGCGTCTTGGGTAGTTGTAAAAAAAAATCGGGTCGCGCCTTTACTTCACTTGCCTACGACGGTACCGGTCCACACAAGCCCGACTCTCACAGATTATGAGTCGTGAGTTACGCCACTTCCCTCTAGCGAGTGATTCCAAAAGTAAACCGGAAGCATAAAAGTGACATTGTATTTTGCCAAGATGCCCATCCTCTCTCTCTTCTGTCCAAAAATCTGCCATCTTGAATTTTCCATCAGTTAAACAAGGAGCACATGACCTGCACAGTCACATGACTAAATGCTACTCTCTAATTGGCTAAACATCAGTAAGACAAATGATCGCATCGTGTGATTGTCCACACAAACACGATAAGTTACGACTGCAACCAACTGCATTCGACTACGATTGAACGACGGGCCACGACGCGACGGAAATCGATTGAATCGTGGTCGTGGGGCTATCCACACTGCACTGATTATCTGAGACAAGACGTTGCGTTGGGTAGAGTCTGGGCAAGTCGTGGCGGTATGGGCCGGGCTTAACACGTGTGTAGATTTGTTTGGTAACACCCAGAAGTTAGAGAATATATATAGGCCCACGACAAAAATCTTTGTGAAATGATCCATGTTACCAGTTAACCCGGATGGAGTCAGCTTCGTAAGAAAATGTTTTAAAAGCATTTCTTTATCTCCATCGTCAAAATATAGTTTTAAAAATGAAATAGCAGAAAATATAGCAGGCGAAACAACTGACATGGGCGCCGCGATATTGCGTTCGGGTGCTGGTTCAGAATGAAGTTGCGACCACAGTTTACATCCGAAGGTCACCCTGGGTATTATATGCTTTTACACTATTTGCGTAAATGGGAGCGGCCATTTGAACTTTGAATTTGATCTCAGGGGTCATAATCCAAGAAGTTACGGTCCGATATGCGCCAATATCCACAGGAACTGAGATCTTCGGGTTATAAACATACATTGTTAGTTTCATTAAATTCGGATAAAAATTGTGACCTCTAGATTGTCCATAACCTTGGTTTTATTATGCATATATTTGCCCAGTTTAGCTTCACAGGAAATCACCATCGTCTGCAGTGCTTTCAATGGTAAGGGATTAGAAAACATAAAAACTTCAATGCTGAGTAATTTTACTAGCCAGAAAGCGTCTCCGAGGATCTAGACTTCCGGGGGCTTCCGGGGGCCCAGGCGGCCCCTGGACCCTCTCCTAAAGTCCTACGACAATCACTGAGAACCAATGTGGTTCGGATAATCAGTTGTTTCATTATTTTTCTTGAAAGGACTTTGTTAGTCTCAGCCTGCCAACCAATTCTCTGAAATGGTTAACGCTTGGTATAGAGTCTACCTATTATGGACTAAATATGATATTTATTCATGAATGTATTTCGTGTATTTGTATCCCCCACTCCTTCCAACAAACACGCACACCACTACCACCATCTATTACGAATATTCATCATTTTGATGTGAAAAGGGGTAAATATACATTTAAAAGGGAAGAAAATACGAAAACGAAGTCGCAGTGTAGAGATTCATGTGAATTCGAGAAGGTCAACCCCTTTCCAGATATATATTATCACATAATTGTTCCATCTTGAGCCCTTTGTGGTTATAAAAATACAGATCATCGTAATGTTCAAAACGGAAATTTAAGTCAGGAAATGGCAAGGATTTAAAACAGAAGTCCACGGATAGAGAATCGCCAGTCTGGATCCATATAAGTAGTAGGTCAATGCAAACGGAGAGTTCATCACTCAATAATAGATGGCCTTTTGTCAAAGCATAAAATGTACAACACTCTAGCTCAATAAATAAAACATCATATTCACACTCCTTCTGAAAAATAACATGATTAACCAGTCCTGCACACAACCGAGGTTTGGGAAAAATCAAGCCAAATAAGACTGGTGTTAATTGTTAACTGTCATTAACACTTACATGAAGCAACTATTGGACGGGTATATTTGATACTATGGTATACGAGTATTTGGGTTCAGTAGCAAGTGTATGTTGACAGCAGTAAAGATCTTTCTGAAATTCCACAAAGAGAGAAACTTTGACGACTTGTGAATAAGACCACATCCGTCACCAGTCATTATTAAAACATTTAAATCGACTCCGGCTTCATATTTCGAAACAAAATTTAATCGTTTAGATTTTGTCGGATCAAATCGAAATATCACACCAGATCAACCAAATTCAGCAATATATTTTGAAATAAATCAAAGAGGTTTAAATAAAATGCTATAA